CTATGAACCCGATACTTTGTAGGATATAATATATCCCCCATACTATGGTGGAATGCGGTTATATGGAGACAACCCCAAAACGCCGAAGAAGTCAGTTAATTATTTTAATATAAAAAGGGGGATATATGGGGACTAACCACAAAAAAAGGGGGGGGGGAGGTGGCGAATGTTAATAATTTTTGGGAGGGACATGTGCCACCATGGGTGACGTGATAGATACCAAGGAAAGGTTCTGATTGGCTTTTACATGCAAAGTCCAGGCTTCAATAATTAATATATCGTTCTTGAACCTGACGTTTTGGTTTATTTATCTCGATATCCTCCGAAGATAGAATGATTACAACAAATGCCTAAATCGTCTATGAATCCCATACTTTGTAGGATATAATATATCCCCCATACTATGGTGGAATGCGGCTATATGGAGACAAATCCAAAACGCCGAAGAAGTCAGTTAATTATTTTAATATAAAAAGGAGGATATATGGGGACTAACCCCAAAAGGAGGGGGGATATAAATAATTTTTGGGAGGGACATGTGCCAAGGCTTATCTTGGTCCGTTTTTAATATCAATTGTGGACACTTACCTGGGGTAGCTACTTTCAGCACCCATTGATATAGTCAGCTGATATATATGCTTCGCTTTGGCGGGTGTACTCAAGAAGTACAAAGTCGATAGTATTGCCTCACAGAAAATGCGATGAAAAGGGACAGGCGTAAGTAAATCAAATGATTACGCACTGTGTGAAACGATACATAAATTTGACTGCGGATTTATATTTAACAGGAGAATAAAAGACATTGTTACCAGATTCACGACAGTAGATGAGCGAATTAGTATAATCCGTATAAAAGCTGGGTTCTTCTACATCAGCCTCCCTGCTCCGACGGAAGACAAAGATCAGCGGACCAAAGACATATTCTACGAGAGCCTAGAAACAGCATATGACCGCTGCCTGGCCATCATATTAAAATTCTGCTAGGAGATTTTAATTTGGCCTCACCGTTGGAAAATCCAGCCTTCATGAAGAAACGGCAGAATACATTGACAAGATGATATTTGGATATGTGTAGAGGAATAAGTCTTCTTCCCATCGAGCAGTGTGAACGACTGAAACCAATGGTCAATGACATTATTGGACCATACCAATGCGGCTTCTGCCCTGGCAAATCCTCCATTGACCAGATTTTCACTCTGAGCCAAATCCTGGAAAAGACCCATGAAAAACTCTATCCACCTATTCGTCGACTATACTCGTAAAGCAGCATTCGACAGCTCAATCTGTTCAGAGTTGCTTAAAGTCATGTCTGTGTTGGCCTTTCCTGTTAAATTAATACGGCTATGCAGGATAACTTTAACTGGCACAAGGTTAGCAGTTAAAGTCGGAAAGGACCTATCAGAGCCCTTCAAACCGAACGAGGATTCAGACAATATGACAGTTTGTTGTGTTATATTTTTCATATCCTGCTGGAAATGGTCATTCAAGAGGTAAAGGTGAACAGAAATGGCACTCTATACACCAAACAACACATGTTACACGCCTACGCCGATGACATCGATATAATGGGTCGAAAGTTGCGAACGGTAAATGCCACGTTTGAACAATATGAACAGGAGTCTGCCAAAGTGACTCTGGCAGTAAATGGCGAGAAGACCAAGCTGATGGTGCAAGACGTCCAGTAGACTCTGACCAACTGTGGAACTTGAAAACTACAGCATCGAGGTAGTCAAGAAGATTTTATACAGCAACTCAAAAGCAAGGCCACCTCTCGCCAGACCAAACTCACACTCTACAATACGCTGATACTATATGTGGTATGTAACTGGAGTATGATAGTTGAGGAGTCTTTGAGGGAAAAATTCTCCGAAAAATCTATGGGCCGATCTGCGTCAGCCGTCAAATGAACCATAAGTTGTACCCTATATCCTAGGTTCTGTTGTGAGAATGGATGAGGCCCCAGTTAAAAATGCAAATAAAAGCGAGCTAATTGATGGTTCACGTCGAAGGGGAAGGCCAAAAATTCGATAAATTATCAACCATGGTAGATAATGGCTAAAATAGAAAGGTTCTTAAGCGCGTTTTTCATCCGAATTCGCTGGGTTCTTATTGGGTACTAAATGTCTCCACAAAAAATTATAAGAATAGGGCCACCTTTTCTGGTAGCCCCCATATAACGGTACCTCCTAATTTTCAGTATTTTGGGGGTTTTGGTCGTATTTTTCCACCGAATTGGCTGTAGTTTAGTATTTTGAGTTCGTAATAGTTTTCAAATCGCTCCACAAAAAATTATAAGTATAGGTTAATTTTTTCGGATAGCCCCCATATAAGGGCACCCCCAATTTTCGGTATTTTGGGGTTCTTGAGCGCGTTTTTCAATCGAATAAGCTGAAATTTGGTACACTGGTTTCTTATTGGGTACTAAATGTCTCCACAAAAAATTATAAGAATAGGGCTAATTTTTCTGGTAGCCCCCATATAACGGTACCTCCTAATTTTCAGTATTGTGGGGGTTTTGATCGTATTTTTCCAAAGAATTGTCTGTAATTTAGTATTTTGAGTTCTTAGTAGGTACCAAACCTCTCCAAAAAATTTAATAAATATAGGTCAATTTTTTTCGGATAACCCCCATATAAGGGTACCCCCAAATTTCGGTATTTTGGGGTTCTTGAGCGCGTTTTCAACCGAATTCTCTGCACTAATTTCGAAAGAAATAATAAGATGGGCAAAGTGTGGATTAAATCAAAATTTTTTGAAACAAATTTGGTCCAAAGAAACATGGGGTCTAGGACCATAATCGGTTTGTAGAAATGTCGGTATAGGTACACTTTTTGGTATGTTCCCTATATTTTTACTTCAAGTGCCTGTCAGTATATCTATGGTGGAGGGTATCCAAGTTCGGGCCGGCCGAACTAAACGCTTTTTCACTTGTTTTAGTTTAGTAAGAAATCAGCGTAGGTAGATAATGTCTAAATATCGATGCTCTCAGATAAATGATTGTGTGTAATTGGTTTAAAAAAAAACGATCGTTATCTATATCGTTGTATAAGTTTATCTGAAATAGTTTTCTATATTATCTACTTTAATAGATAAAATATCCAGACTCTCAGATATCTAATGGTAATATTTAAATTTTGTAGTTAATTTATCTAGACCGGGTATATATTTATCTCTTATACTTTTTTTTAATTATCTACTTTAATAGATAATATATAGAGGCTCTCAAATAAATAGTGATGTATAATTTATAACAAAAATTTAGATAATTTATCTATACCCTTGTATACATTTACCTGATATATATTTCTAAATTATCTACATTAATAAATAATTTATCTGAGAGCCTAGATACTCTCAAATAAATTATGATGTAGATAAAATGTAGATAATTTATCTAGACCGTTGTATATGTTTATCTAAAAGAATTTTCTAATTTTCTACCTTGTTTTTAACTTAAAACCAGTAAGGAAAGTAGTAAAGTCGGACTGGGCCGACTATATGATACCCTTCACCACTGGGGATACATGTGTGGAATATGTATCCTAACAGACGTCGCCTTTTCTAAGGAACATTGACATGAAATTGAACGAACTTAGATCGGACGAAAAGATATATGGGAGCTACATATATAACTCTGACCCGATTATCTCGAAACTTAGCACACATCATTCTGGACCTAATTCAGCACTCTGTGCTGAATTTCGTGCAAATCAAAAGATACATAGGGACTTTGGTGCACCATTTACCTTAAATCGGTCGAAACTATATATGGGAGCTATATCTAAATCTGACCCGATTATCTCGAAACTTAGCACAAACCATTCTGGACCTAATTCAGTACTCTGTGCCAAATTTCGTGCAAATCGAAAGATATATAGGGACTTTGGTGCACCATTTTCCTTAAATCGGACGAAACTATTTGTGGGAGCTGTGTCTAAATCTGAACCGATTTTCTCGAAACTTAGCACACACCATTCTGGACCTAATTCAGTACTCTGTGCCAAATTTCGTGCAAATCGAAAGTTATATTTGGGACTTTGGTGCACCATTTACCTTAAATCGGACGAAACTATATATGGGAGTTATATCTAAATCTGACCCGATTTTCTCGAAACTTAGGACACATCATTCTGGACCTAATTCAGTACTCTGTGCCAAATTTCGTGAAAATTGAAAGATATATAGGGACTTTGGTGCACCATTTACCTTAAATCGGACGAAACTATATATGGGAGCTATATCTAAATCTGAACCGATTTTCTCGAAACTTGGTACACATCATTCTGGACCTAATTCAGTACTCTGTGTCAAATTTCGTGCAAATCGAAAGATATTTAGGGACTTTGGTGCACCATTTACCTTAAATCGGACGAAACTATATATGGGAGCTTTATCTAACATATGGATAAATCGACTCAGAAAGTGATTCTATACATACTCTCAAGAGGAACCATGGGTCTATCTCGATTATTTTTGCCTGTTACAAACATATGCACATAGACATAATACCCTGTACCACACTGTGGTGAAGGGTATAAAAAAGGCGAGTTGATAGTATAAATCATAATAGTTAAAGATAAATTATCTACGAAGATAAATATCTGTTGTCATTTGCCATAACCTCCTTTAAATTTGCAGCACTGTATAAATTGGTAAACTAAAATATTTTTTTTTTGTTTCCAATTGAGGTTTGATTTTCTACCGGTTAAGCGGTTGGGGGAAACATATGGGGTACGGAAAGGTTACGCTTTCCACTTCAAATGTGGGTAAGTTACAAAGAAATCAAAAACAAAAACTACAATTACTAAATTCCCTGCTGGCAAAATTGGTGTTAGTTTTCAAATTGTTTGCTCAAAAAAAAAAAACAACAACAATAACTATTTTTTTAAATTAAAAAAAAATTATTCAAATAAAAACTTAACTGTTATACAATATATATTTGTATATATAAATTTATATATAGATATGTAAAGATAAATGTCAAAAAAATTAAGGCTTACTTTATGTAGTGTGGTTTGTTCTTCTAGCTGCATCTAATAGTTTTTTTTTAATATTTATTCGGTTTTGGTTTGGTATTGGTTTAAATATTTGGTTGTGGTGGTATTTGGTGGTGATGGAACGGTTGATAATTGGTTGGTTGTATTTAAGAGGAGTAGAGTAGTTATTGGTTGTATTAGTTGGTTGTAGAACATATAATAGTTGTTGTATTTGGCGATGTAGTTGATGATAAAGGTAGTAGTAATAGGAGGAGTAGTAGTAGTAGATATTCAATATATATTGGAGTTTATATAGAATATTTTTTTTTAATAAAAAAAAAAAAAAAAATAACGAAAAAAATATAGGAAAATTTTTTTTATAAGTATAGAGTATTGTAACATTTAGAGATATTTATATTGCAATATATTTATATTCAAATATATTTATATAAAAAAATATATTTATGTATATATATACCATAAATACAAATATGTATACAGATATTTATAATAAGTTGATATATATTAAATATTCACAACACAATTAACATTTATCACAAGGGAAATATTTCTTTTTTTGTTTTCTGTTTTTTTGTTTGTTTTTAGGATAGGTAATCAATCCACTAACAACTACATAATAATATTAATTATTATCATCTAAATAACAACAACATCAACAATTAATAATTCTCTTATACCTGAGATCTTTCCAAGTCATGTTTAAGGCGTTCATTTTCCAATTCCAAACGGGCTATACGCTGTTTTGTCGTCTCCCAATCGGCATTGCTACGGCCCATTTCACACGTGGCCTTTTCGAGTTCCGCCTTCGATTTGCCCAGTTCACTTTGCGATGCCTCCAATTTGATTTCCAAACGTTCACGTTCGGTAACGGCACGCTCCAATCGAGTGTTCAACTTTTCCACTTCGCTTTCGAGGGCCCTCAGCTTGATCTTGTAGTCGGCAATTTCACGCTCATGCAGTTCACGTTCTTCTTGTTTTTCGTGTTCGGCACGATCTCGCTGTTCTCGTAGCTGAGCCATTTGCTTTTCTTTGTCGCCAATGGCCTCTTCGAGACTTGTGAGAGCGCCCTCAGAACTGCTATGATGAGCTTGCATTGCCGACAAACGGGCCCGGGCCATATCCACCTGATTGTCTTTCTCCTTAAGCAAATCTTCGAGATTTTCAATCTACACAAAACGAGTGTTAAGAAAATGTTAACAACAACAAGAGGGGGGTGGGTGGTTGTTCCAAAAGAGAAATAAAAACAAAATTTTTTGGTATTAGGATTATGTGGTTACACTACTAGGAATCATTTTTTTCAATATTATTAGTTTTCAAAACGAATCTAAAAAAACACCTTTCTCTGCAGCACACATATTTTACGATCCTTGATCTCCATGTGATCCTTGAGCTCGGTCAATTCGCTCGTCAAACGGTTTCGTTCCTGCACCGTTTGCAGTGTGCCCTGAGTCTTCTTCTCCAGCAGGCGATTCTTCTCCTCGAGCCGGGCCCGCAGCTCCTCAACATCAGCCTGCAGCATATTGTAGTGTTCCTCCTTGGCACATAGTGACTCCTTTAACACCGCAATATGCCGTTGGTAGTCCTGTGTGGAAAATTTAAGTTTTGTAAAAATTTTGCTTCAAGATTTTTATTTCACCAATTAACAAATCTACAGGGAATAGGGATACATAATTGAATTTCTTCTACATTGCTTTATATTAGGGGATAGGAGGATTTTTATTTGGAAATTGTTCAAAAATTGTGACTACATCTTAGAAATTACTTTTTTTATTTTTTATATATTTTTGCTAATCGTCGATATCTTTTTGTACTCCTTGTGGGAAACTGTTTAAAATGGCTTTAAAAATTGTTTTAGCTTTCATCATCTGCATCGCGGATGGCAGGAGGCGGTGGGTTAGTTGCCTACACTCGGAAAACCCCATTTACTATGAAAAAGCTACGAAAAAGTAAATCAAGCACCCTACGACACCCGCAAACATATAAGGAACCTCGATCTGCGAATCTACAGTTGGAATTTTACAGAACAAGCGCAGTTTTCGCTTTGGCGGATGTACTCAAGAAGTACAAAATCGATATTTTTGTCTTACAGGAAATGTGTTGAAAAGGGGCTGGCGTAAGTAAATCAGATGATTACGCCCATGAAACATGACATGAATTTGGGTGCGGAATTATGGTTAACAGGAAATTAAAAGACCTAGTCGTCATATACACTCCAGTGAATGAGCGAATTGCTATAATCCGTATAAAAACGAAGTTCTTCAATGCGGTTTCAGACCTGGCACATCCAGTATAGACAAGATTTCCACACTGCACCCACGAAAGACACATAGATACATTCTACAGTACTGAACGGGTGATTCAGACAAGGTGACAGGTTGTAGTGTGACCATTTTAACATCCTGAATTTGGCTGCGGAATTATGGTTAACAGGAAATTAAAAGACCTCGTCGTCATATCCACTCCAGTGAATGAGCGAATTGCTATAATCCGTATAAAAACGAAGTTCTTTAATGCGGTTTCAGACCTGGCAAATCCAGTATAGACAAGATTTCCACACTGCACCCACGAAAGACACATAGATACATTTCACCGTACCGAACGGGGGATTCAGACAAGGTGACAGTTTGTCGTGTGACCTTTTTAACATCCGGCTTGAAAACGTCATACGAAATGCAAAGGCGAACAGAAATGGCACTCTGTACACTAAACATCACGTTTTACACGCCTACATCGATGACATCGACAAATTGAACGAATTGAGAAGGAGTCTGCCAAAGTCGGACTGGCAGTAAATGGCGAGAAGACCAAGCTGATGGTTGAAAGCGCAAGACGTACACTAGACTCGAACCAACTGTGGAACTTGAAAACTGCAGCATTGACGTAGTGAACGATTTAATATACCTCGCTACTGCCATAAATAAAACTAATGACATCAGTTGTGAAATTCGGAGAAGGATATTGTTGGTCTGAGCAAGCAATTTAAGAACAAGGCTGCCTCTCGACAGACCAAACTCATACTTTACAAGACGATGATACTACCCGTGCTGGTGTATGGATCTGAAGCATGGGTACTTGCACAAGCAGAACAATTCTCCGAAAGATCTATGGGTCGATCTGCGTCAACGGTGAATATTACCATCGAATGGACCACGAATTGTACCGTCATTTCTTGGACATATACGTATCGAGCTGCAGCGACTACGGTGGCTAGGTCATGTTATGTGGATGCCCCAGTTCAAAAGGCATTTAAAAGCTAGCCAACTGATGGTTCACGCAGAAGGGGAAGGACACGAATTCGATAGAATGATCAAGTGGAAGACACCATTTCGAAACATGGCCTGTAAATCTATTTTAAGCTTAGCTTATGGAACAAATGTTATGTGTCGAATTAGTTTAGTAAATATGCTAAAATTCGACATGGTGTAAAACTTGACGTTGGCTACCAACATTTAAGTTCATGGCTCATATAATTTTTATATCGAAACAAATAATTCCAGTATTTGCTGTAATTTGGCATAGTGAGTTATCAACGTATAAAAAATATACTTGCAAAAATTATCAAGGTAGGTCCTGGCTTCTATCTGGTCTACATATAACGGTCCGTAACTGCCGAACCACGTGTGTTATTGAAACTGTGGTCCTTGGTTTCATGTTTAGATATAGCCAATAAATAACCGTCTCTCGATTTAAGGTACTTTTTTATCCATTAGCCACTTTTTTCTAACCCCCTGGAAATAGGATGTAAAGAAATGCCGGTAAATGGGAATTTACCCACCCTGTGGGTATTTATTCGGTCCACAAGAGGCCATACCGAAAAAGTTTTCTTCAACTGGAGTTCTATGAATTGTTTATAGAAGGTCGTATCGCCAATAAAGAATTCTACCTTGAAAAAATTCACAGAATTGTGGAAAATCAAATCATAAGTGTGAGTTTTTGGCAAAAAATAAAATAAACCATTTTTCATAACTCAACCATTATATTCACCGGACTTTGTTCCCGGATTTGAGGAAACACGACATAAATAGGAGGGCATTATAGGTATGGATTTTTTTTTTGATAAGACCTTAACGGTGGCTGTAATATTACGTACTGTGTTGTTATACGTTCGAATGCCTCGTCACAGTTCTACTTTATGATATAACTGCTATTTAACACAATTTCCAGTCAAACTGACTGGGAGAATAAAAAATGGATTGTGTTTGGGAATTTTTATACCCTCCACCATAGTATGGAGGGTATATAAATTTTGTTTTTCCGTTTGTAACTCATCGAAATAATCATTTCCGACCCTATAAAGCCTTGATCAGCGTAAAATTCTATGACGATATAGCCATGTCCGTCTGTCTGTTGTAATCACTCTAGCGTCTAAACGAATGCAGATATATCGGCAAAATTTTGCATAGAGTCGTCTTTTGTCTGCAGGCAGGTCAAGTTCGCAGATGGACTTTATCGGTCCAGGTTTAGGCATAGCTCCCATATAAGGGTACCCTTAAATTTTCGGTATTTTGAGGTTCTTGAGCGCGTTTTTCAACTGAATTGGCTGAAATTTGGTACATTGAGTTCTTATTGGGTAGCAAATCTCTCCACTAATAATTATAAATATGGGTCCATATTTTCGGATAGCCCCATATAAGGGTACGCCCAATTTTGTGGTATTTTGGGGGGATTGATCGCATTTTTCGACCGAATTCGCTGAAATTCGGTACTTTGAGTTCTTATTGGGTAGCAAATCTCTACACTAAAAATTATAAATATAGGTCATTTTTTTCGAGTAGCCCCCATACAAGGCTACCCCCCAATTTTCGGTATTTTAGGGTTCTTGAGCGCGGGTTTCAACCGAATTCGCTGAAATTTGCTACAAAATTATAAATATAGGTCCACTTTTTCTGGTAGCCCCCACATAAAGGTCCCTCTCAATTTCGAGTTTTTGGGGGATTTCGACCGGATTTTTTCACCGAATTGCCTGTAATTTAATAATTTCAGTTAATATTGGGTAGCAAATCTCTCCACAAAAAATTATGAGTATATGTTCATTTTTTCGGATAGCCCCCATATAAGGGTACCCCCCAAATTTTCGGTATTTTGAGGTTCTTGAGCGGGTTTTTTAACCGAATTCGTTTAAATTTGGTATTTTGTAGTCGTATATGGTAACAAATCTCCCCACCAAAAGTTATTAATATTCACCCCTTTTTAGGGGTATTCCCCATATTACCCCCTTTTTTATATTAAAATAGTTATCTGATTTGTTCCGTATGTTGGGGTTAGGTAGTCGTTACAGGTAATAGTCAATTTTTACCCTACAAAGACTATTTAGACATCTGTTGTAAGCATTTCGCCTTCTAAAGACATTACGATAAAAGAAAACTCAAACATGATGATAATGGAATATATCGGCATACATTTAGGTATCTCCTCAATATAGTGATACCTCTGAAGGAAAGAATTGAGATAAACAATTAAAATATTGGGTTCAATATTGGCATGTACCGGTCATTAATTAGGCATAGTCCTTATATAATGATATCCCCAAATATTCACTATTTCCTACACTATGTAATCAATACTGGTCCCCTTTAGGGCATAGCCTCATATAACTTTGTAATCAAAATTACAGTAGTTTGAGGATTTTATATTCTACCATGCGTTATCAGTATCAGTCCACTTTTTGAATCTTACAGATTTTAGGAAAAATCCACATTAAAAATTGCGAAGTTTGTATTTGGTGTACATAATGGTTTACATAAATCGGTTTGTAGAATTATCGGTATATGCCCACTTTTTAGTATGTTCCCTATATTTTCATTGCATGTATCTGTCAGTATAACTATGGTGGAGGTTATCCAAAGTTCGGCCCGGCTGAACTTAACGCTTTTTCACTTGTTATTTAATGTTCTTGATATCGTCAGCCCGAACTTAACACCGGTTTTATATCTTTCGTAATATTCTTCAGTTAGTTGTTTTTTTTTACGAAGAATTTGAATTATTTTTTCATTTCTTTGATTTTTAAATTTTTCTATGTACTCTTTAAATTAGAATTTTTAAATCTCCTTGATGTTTTTTTTTATTTTTTCTTCGGAAATATTACATTGTACAACATTTCTTCATGTATTTTTGAACAATTTCCAAATATATAACTACATATGTATGTATTTACAATTAGTAATGCTAAGGTGGCCACTAAATACTAGTAATATTATATATATTTTTTTATTTTGTGTGTTTTATTTAATTAAGAATTGATTTGATCGCTTTACCTGATGTTGTTCTTCCAATGTTTTCATTTTGGCCGCCATAGCCAAAATTTCTTGATCCCTCCTCTGTATTTCAAGACGGAATTCGTCCAACTGTTAAAAAACAAATTGTTGTTTGTTTTTTTTTTTGAGTGGGAGTAAAAAAGATTCAATTAAAAAAAAATAGAAAAAGAAAATATTTTATAAAATATATTTCAATATAATTTTTTGTTTATTAAAAAATCAGACGACACACAGAAGAGATGTCATGAGAATTATTTTCTGTTTTTTTTTATGATGAAAATCATGTTAATGAATGAAAATCTCGAATACGATCGATAAATGTTTGAAATGATAATAGATATGGCAGTCCGTCTTTGTCTTTATGGTGTTGTGTTGGTTCAGTTGGGTCATGTGATGAACGAAAAACAAAAGGAAAATAAAAACAGTTCTTCATTTTCGTTTTGGCAACATTTCCTTTGGGGGCGAAAATGTTGTTCGGAAGTCTTTAATACTTTTCGGTTCGTCCGGTCATTTGTCGAATGGTCTTTTGTTTTATTTTTTTTTTGCAATGAATTTTACATTCCGTCTTTATTTGTTTTTTTCTTTTCAATCTATTTTGTTGCCCTATTTCTCATGATGTATTGATAACAAAACTGTTTGTTTCTACTTCAAACTTTTTCAAGGAAATCAAGGAATGTTGAAATACCAGCTGTTAAATTGCTTTGCCAAAACTTAAAAAAAAATACTAAAGTTAATGATAGTTTGATGGTCAGTTGTTTTTGTTTTTTAAGTATCTTTTTCTTTATTTATTTGCTTTTATTTCTTTTTTCATGTTTTATTGTTTATGGAAATTTATTTTATTTTTTTCTTCTTGTTGTTGTTGTTTAATAATACTTTTTTTTCTCTAGTTTAATATTTTGTTATATCAAATATTCGTTTGTTTTTTTTTGTTGTTGTTGTTTATTTTTATTTTTCGACAAATACAATAGTTGAGTTGAAAATGTTTTTTTGTTGTTGTTATTTATTTTTTTCTTTTTATTTTGGTTTAGCTTGAAATTTTGTTGTTGTTATTTTGTAAATTATTATTATATATTATTAAAAAGGAATACAAACACAGTTTGGTTGCTTGAGATACGATATATAACTTATGCGGTAAATGCAAAAAAACTCTATGCTTTTTTTTCTTTCTTTCTTTGTATTTGAGGTTATGTATGATATAATTATCTAATTGCTATTAATAATAATGCTTTGCTTATTTTTGTTTTTTTTTTTTAATATTTGCTATGTTATATATGTATGTTGTTGTGAGTATATATGTATGTATGTTTGTGTATGGGATTTTAAATGTTTTGCAATATAAAATATAGAATTAAATATTTTTTTTGTTAATATTTATAATGTTCGTTATAGTTCTGAAGCATTTACATTTATATGTATATGTGTGCCATGTATTTTTTATAGGCAAATCCTAATTGAAAAAAGGAAAATGTAAAAGAAAAAACCAGTAAGGAAAGTAGTAAAGTCGGACTTGGCCGACTACATGATACCCTTTACCACTTTATGTATATTGTACATATGTATCCTAACAATTTCACGTCAATGTTCCCTCGAAGGAACATACACCTTTCTGCAATGGGGATTGGCGACAGAGAAGCAAATCTATCTTTATATAGGAAAATATATCATTAACAAGCATATCGGCGCCTCCGAACCATAGTATGCTAAGTCGACTTAGCATGTTTTAAATTTCTTTACGTTTTTAGATACTACGGTCCTTAATTTACATTCACTGAAATTTGTGTAATCATCGGCCAATCCAAACCATAGTTATAAGCAAAAATGTACTTAGCATGGCACGTACGATCAAAGAAACTTCCATACTTTGAAAGCTTCTACTGACTCACTTTTCAGACTTAGCATACTATGGTTCGGAGGCGTCGATATTTGCATTGAATACAAAATGTTCTTCTGTCTTAAAATTTGAAATACAAGTTTTTACAATTTTTCTCACAGTTTAATAACAGAGAAATATAAATTTGAAAATTGTGTATTTGAAACAAATACAATAACAAACATTTGCATGTATTAGTGTGGACAGCCCTGATTTATAGCAAAATTGATACACCCTACTCAGTATGCCGCACTGTTAATAATATAGTCTCAATCAGACATCCGTTCGAAATATAAATATGGTACGTTGGGCAAAATTTCGTGTCAATTCGACAAACATTAGGAGTTTAGTGCACCATTTACCTAAAATCAGAAAAAAAATATATATGAGGGACCTATATCTAAATCTGAAGCGATATACTTGAAACTAAGCACACCTCATTCTAAACTCAATTCAGTACGCTATGCTAAATTTAGTGGAAATCGAAAGGTATATAGCGGCTTTAGTGTACCGTTCACATTAAATCGGACGAAAATATATATGGGAGCTATATCTAAATCTGAATCGATTTTCCCAGAACTTAGCACACATCATTGTGGACCTAATTCAGTACCATATGCCAAATTTCGTGCAAATCGAAAGACATATGGGGACTCTGGTGGCTAATTTTCCTTACATCGGATGAAACATATATGTGAGCTATATCTAGATCTGAACCGATTTTGACGAAATTTGACATACATCTTTCTAGCCTTAATTCAGTACGCTATACCAAATTTCGTGCAAATCGAAAAATATATAGGGACTTTGGTGCACCATTTACATAAAATCGGATGAAAATGTATATGGGAGATATATCTAGATCTGAACCGATTTTTACGAAATTTACCACACACCTCTCTTTCTAGACTTAAATCAGTACGCTATACCAAATTTCGTGCAAATCGAAAGATAAATAGGGACATTGGTGCACCATTTACATTAAATCGGACGAAAATATATATGGGAGCTATATCTAAATCTGAATCTATTTTCTCAGAACTTTACACACATCCTTCTGGACCTAATTCAGTACCCTATGCCAAATTTCGTGCAAATCGAAATATATATGGGGACTCTGGTGGCCCATTTTCCTTACATCGGACGAAAACATATATGGGAGCTATATCTAAATCTGAGCCGATTTTCACGAAACTTAGCACACACCATTCTGGACGCTATACCAAATTTCGTGTAAATCGAAAGATATATAGGGACTTTGGTGCACCATTTACATATAATCGGACGAAAATATATGGCAGCTATATCTAAATCTGAACCGATTTTCACGAAACTTAGCACACATCATTCTGGACCAAATTCAGTACACTATGCCAAATTTCGTGCAAATCGGAAGATATATAGGGACTTTGGTGCCTATATCGGACAAAAATATATATGGGAGCTATCTCTAAATCTGAACCGATAGACTTGGCAGGACCATATTTGAAGATTTTTCAGAGCGGAAATAAATTGTGGTTTTGGTTAAGAAATTTAATTTTACAACATAGGCAACTGAGAGATATTAATGAAGAGTTAACATGTTTATTATATCATTAGCAAATATTTGTGTAAAAGAAAAAAACATAAAAAATTATACCTCGAAGTTACTCTCTGTTTGTGAAAAGAAATTTTTCAGAAATGTTCCGGAATTGTGGAAACCCCAATAATGGATGCCTAAACCGCCATATTCACTGGACTTGACACCCGCTGACTTTATCCTCCCATCCCACAACTGCGTTTTAGCGATAAAAAGGAAAGCTGTTTGCTACGATTGAGGAGATTTGGGGGACCCCAGCCATAACCGATGTCGATAATTTTTAACCGGCTGGCAAATGAGTATACATTATGTTAAAGACTTGTAGCTTTGCATACATATATTTGAAGATTCAAGTACCAAATTTCAGCGAATTCAGTTGAAAAACGCGCTCAAGAACCTCAAAATACCGAAAATTGGAGGGTACCCTTATATGGGAGCTATGCCTAAACGTGGACCGATGTAGCCCATCATCGAACTTGACCTGCCTGCAGACAAAGACGACTCTATGCACAATTTTCATAAACTATCTCAATTCGTTTAGACGCTAGAGTGATAGAAATTTACGTCATAGAATTTTACGCTGATCAAGAATATATATACTTTATAGGGTCGGAAATTATTATTTCGATGCGTTACAAACGAAAAAACAAAATTAACATACCCTCCATAGTATGGTGGAGGGTATAAAAAAAGGGTATTAATTCGTGAACATTTTCGTTGGAAAAATGTTGTGAAGCCCTGACTTGGCACCCCATAACTAATTCTTATTTCCGGAGCCCTGACTTGGCACCCCATAACTAATTATACCCTACACAACTATGTTGTAAGGGTATTATAGCTTTGTGCAGCCCCAAAAGTTTGCAACCCCGCGAAATATTGGTCCTAGACCCACCTTTAAGTATACCAATAGTCATATCTCGACTAGCTGAGTCAATGTAGACATGTGTGTCCGTCCGTCCGTCTGTCCATTATAATTTGTAAACACGCTACAGGCCACAGGTATGGACCAATCTTCACGAAATTTTGCAGAGGATAGGTTCTGGCCAATGAAGACCCCTATTGTTTTTGGAAAAGATCGGTTAATATTTAGGGGATGAAATGGACCAAAAACTTTATTTTTGTCGGTTTTTCTGGTCGCTCCAGAGACCGCAAATATGGCACAAACATCGCGAATTTTTACAGGGAGAAGGGGATAGGGCCAAAGAATAAGCATGCCTGTTTTGATAAAGATCGATCAATATTTAGCGGGTCAAATGGACCCTGACTTTTGTGTGAAAAATGACAAAATTTGTATTCTATACCGTATATATTTACTCCTGTGGGTCGATTCACAATCAAAATTAAACAATTCTCAAATCGATAAAATATTATAACGACAAAATAAACAATATTTTAATTCTATAACAGTTTTTAACAACAATTGTTAAAAATGTTGTTAATAAACAACACCAAAAAATTCGAAGTTAACTTATCGACAAATATTCTTCAATATTGAACATGCCTTGTTTTGTTCATAATTTGTATGTATGTTGTTTTCAAAATGTTCCAAATTAAAAGCTTTTTGAAAGTTTATCGACAATTTGTCTACATTTTTACAGAATAACATGTTCGTTAATGCACACGATTTTATGTGTAGACAA